ATCTGACACAATGTAATTGCAAATTACAAAAAAATTTGGTCCAATTAACACTCTGACACTAAGAGCAAACTTTACTGCTTAAACCCTAGACCCCTGGACCGATGAAAAATTGGGGGGAGAAAGAACCATAACCACTCCAGATCTCTACAAACATGGCCAAACCCTAGCTCCTCCTGCAAACCCCCCATGAAGCAGCCCTATTTTTGGCCTGTCAGAAAGATCTTCACAAACTGTTAAAACCCTACCACCCCACACCCAATCCGTCAGAGAGTAGAATGAACGGCCAAACCCTAGCTCCTACGCGCAATTGATGCGGTCAAGAACTCTTTACGGGAGCTAAATTGCACAGATCGAGCAAAGGAGGTGCTGGCGACGGTGACGTACCGTACAGGGGCGGTGAGGCATCATCACGGCGACGTGAAGGAGCAAGAGGCACGTCGCGCAGGCCCCTCCCGAACGGCGCGGACGGCGGCGGCTCAGTGTCCGACGACGTGCTCATGGAGCCGTCCTCGACGCCAACGACGTCCGACCTCAGTAGCGACGATGAGCAGAGAGGGTGCGGGAGCAGAGAGGTTGCGGGAGGGAGGATAAAGGAGCGACACGGTGCGGTCCGACCAGGTGCGGGCCGTTTAATGACCAGGTGGGGTGCGGTCCGACCAGGTGCGCGCATTTCCAAAAAAACCCTCCAGCCTTCTAGTATTAACACCCCCCCACGACAGGTGCTGCACAAGTGGCAGTCAAAGCACAGCTGGCAACGGCTGACTCGGCCAAGTCAGCAAATACGTAGCTCCAATCGTATATACGGACCAAAGTGAACCCCCTGCGCAAGTAGATGGACTGTATTTCGGGTATTTTGAAGTAGTGGTACTTAAGTGTCAGCCAGCTCAAGTTTTGTGACCTATGGTGATTTTTTGTCTTTTTCTTATTAGCAGATGAACTCAGTGGAATCAACCCATCTGCCGTGTTTGTCAGGTATTAGTAAAATTTCAATGAAAACTGGAGTGGCAAAAGCAAAACAAAAAACCTAGGGCAATATTGTCTTTGCCCTGCTTCGTTTGGTCAAAACATGCCTTGACCTGACAGAATGGTATTTGTAATACATTGTCAAAAACAAGAAGTGGCAAAAATGAGATGTTGAATTTTTGAGTGGCATAAGCAAAATTGGCAAAAATTAGAGTGGCAAAAAACAGAGTTTTTCCGTAATAAATAGGCTAAAAACTGTTCGGCTTGAGTTTTTGCCTTGTACTGATATGTTGGCAGATCAACTGACTAAACCTCTTAGTCAGAAATTGTTTTGCAAACATGTCAGGAACATGGGCCTTAGGATTTTTGACTGAATGTTTTTCAGATAGGGAGATGTAGGAATTTTTGGTGTCTTCCAAAACATTATATACTACATTTATTTGGTTGATGAATGAAATCATACGGAATTGATGTATGAATGATTGGTACAAATATTTGCAATTGAACTTGAGGGAATATACTCGAGGAGCTGGGTACAAACTATACTGGAATATAGTGTGTATATGTACACTGTAATTATTTGTCTGGGCACAATATAGGTTTGGAATTGACTAGGCTATTTACAGTTTTTTTTTTGCGAGTAAGTTATTTACAGGTTCAGCTCTATGTAAATTGATAAGTCTACACGTTTAAATAGGACCATACTATTTAAATGTGGCATATATCTCACATATATGTGCTTAGGGATAAAAGGAATTTGACTTGGAAAATAATCAGTTATGATTGTGGTTGGTTAATTCGATTAAGATTCTAATTGAATTCTATCTGAATACAGATTTGAACATTCAGGAATATGAGTATAAATATGTCCTTACCCTCTAGCTTCATATACAGCATTGTGAGCTGCACCATGAACTTGATGGAGGAATTAGAGGGTAGACAAATATACTCATGCTATATTATTTTCACAACATCTAGCTGATCTGTTTGTGCTACGTTTTCGTCACTTTTTTTCAGTTACATATAATTGGTATGTGCTTTTTGGTGACATGCTCTGTTAAAGGCATCTTCGTGGTCCACTTTGCCCCTTTTTCTAGGCGCTGATAGAAATAAGAAGAATCAATCATAGTACTTGGGTTAGCGCCTACCGCCTATGATGCGGAACACATAGCAGCTCTGCTCATGAAAAAGATTATTAACGAAGTTCGCCTCCAGTTACGAGAGAACCAAAACTTGTCTTTTTTTAGGGGAAAGCGTTGCCAATTTATTCAGAGAGAACCAAGACTTGTCGCGGTGCGCTAGACGTGCTACTACTCCACACGTCTACATGTGATTGTGATTTCTTCTTTACTTTCTGCAAGTGTGTTTTTGGAAGAGTTTTTTGCTTCATTGTCAACTGCACTACGTGTGTGTCCTTGTATATTTTGGTGGATATTTGACTCTGAGCTAGCTTCTATTGTCCGGTTGCTCAGTCACAATCAGCAATCGTTGACAAGTAGAGCAAACGCTGGTCACTGCTGACACTCACAATTCGTTGCATCACTGCTGAGTTATCCAGGATTTTCTACGCAGTTCGTTCCCATCACGACTTCCAACATTGTTTGCACCGACCTTAATTAATGCAGAGTGCACACAGTACTCTTCTAAATCAATCTCCTCTTTTGCAAGGAAACTACTCTCTCCATTCGGAATTACTTGTCACAGAAATGAATTTATCTAGACGTATTTTAGTTCTATATACATCCATATTCGAGACAAGTAATTTCGAACGGAGGGAGTACGTCCGATGCCGGGCGCAAGATTCGGATATTCTGAAGGATGTAAGAGCGTCTACAGCCGGACTACTCAAATCATCCCTTATACGTCTGCGGGTGTGTCTGGTTATTGACCGAACAAAAAAATATGACTCAACCAGATCTCTCGTATTATTTTTATATATGCTCGAGCTGTCCGCGAACCATCATATCCATCTCAAATACGAGGAGGATATAAGGGCCTGCGGACGCGCACGAGCGCGCCCGGGCATTTCGCCACATAGGACGTGGTCCCACCTTGGACCACCTTTTCTCTTTATTTATTTATTTATTTATTTATTTCTCTTTCTTCGTCTCCACCAATCACGTACAAGTGACCGGGTATATGAGAAGAAAAATAAGAAGTGTGGCTGCGCAGAAGGATAAATAGGGGTTTAAAACGGACACGTTCGGTCACTGAACCAGGCGCGTCCGCGGGCGTTTAAGGGGTCATATTTGCTATATCCGACTGTAAATCTAAGGGCATATCTCTAGTAGATCATGTAAACCGCGGTACCGTAAATTTTGTTTACGAATTACTGTAAAATGATTTTGCGGTACTGCGGACCGCACGACTGCAGAATTTAGACATACTAGACAAACATAGTTTTCGTCACCATACTTCGTAGGAATTTGAACACACTAAATTTAAACCTAATCTAAACTACTCATCCTTCTTTACATGAAGAAGATATTCCATTGCGGAGCCGGAGAGGACAAATGTGAGGCCGTACTCCTTCTTGGCCTCCTTGGCGGCCTCGAGCCGCGTGGCGACGCCTTCTTCTCCAGCGACGATCCACTCCTTCGCCTTGGTGAAATTGCGCTCCGCCTCGTGGAGGCGCCTTCTTCTCCGGCGGTGATCGGCTCCTTTGCCTAAGCAAACTCGCGCTCCGCCTCGCGGAGGTGCTTGGTGATCGAACAAATGATGTCGTGGAGGCGTCCGAAATCTCTCCACTCCTCCGACCGTCGCTGCGGGAGAGGCCGCCACGCTCTCTCGCCTGCACGTGGCGCCATTCCTCCACAGGGGTTCCGGCCTCGTCGTCATGGTGGGCTCGCTTGTGCGGTAGCGAGCCGCCACACCCCCCTCGGCCACCACGCGCGCGACGGCGAGGTGGTTGAAGAGTGGCTGTGCGCGGGGAAAACGCGCGAGAGAGAGAGAAAGAGGTTTGGCACCGGAGACAGAGAAAATGCGACGGAGGTGAGTTCGGGATTTACAGGATAGGAACCCTAAATCGGCTAGATCTGGTAAATATAGCGGAGATGCCATGGTTTTACGAGCCGAGCCTTTTCATGTAAAAGGGCCGACGAGTTTATATGAGATCCGCTAGACATGCTCTAAACCACCACATTGTTCAAGCCTTAGGTAAGGCTTGGGCATTAGTTTTGCAGCTAATCCGAATGACTTCGTTCAGTGAAGGAAGACGTTTTTGTCACTATGAAGTGTTTGTGATAACTTCGTCCATCTCAAAATTGATTGTCGGTTCAGTATCTCATTGAAGCTTAGGGGGTAGGGTGTGCGTCTAGAGTGTTCGTGCGTGTGTACATAGTGATATATGTATATATAAGCATCTTCGATTGTTCTGTGTTTAAAAATAAAAAAAAGAATGTGCATCTAGTATATAGAAAATAAAAAAGAAACAAGCGTCCCATAGAGTAAAAGGAAGTAAACCAAGCGGAGATTGTTGGAAACAAACTTAATTTCCGGCCCCTCAGCAGCGTACGGCTGACGAAGCTTCATCGGAAGAAGCTAAAAAATTAATCAATCAATAAAAACTAAAAGTGCTGGAGAAAGGAGATGCGCGGATCTCAAGGCGCCGCTGGCGCACTACCGAGCGTCATCACTTGCGTCGGTCGGTCGCTGAAAAGTGAAAACCAATTATCCGAAAAGAATATCAATCACAAAAACTGAATAGAGCGGGGGGTAGTACTAGAAAAAACTCGTGCAAAAATAAGGACGACTAAAATGGCTGAAGAAACGGAAGCTCCTAGAGACGCGGGGGCCATTGACGAGCCGCACCTTCCACCTCACCTCACCTACCCGCTCCCTCTCCCTCTCCCACTCCACGGCCGCACCGCACCTGCTCCGTTGGAAGGGAGCAAACCCTCCGTCGCCTATTTAGCCGAGACCCCGAGCATGGTCTTCTCCATCCCACATCCCATCCCATCCGCAGCGGCTTTATTACCTACCGAGAAGAAGAGAGAAAAAAAGGTTCGAGTGCGTTCGAGAGTGAGGAGTGAGAAGAGATGGCTCCGGTGAAGCTGTACGGCGCGACCCTGTCGTGGAACGTCACCAGGTGCGTGGCGGCGCTGGAGGAAGCCGGCGTCGAGTACGAGCTCGTCCCCATCAACTTCGGCACCGGCGAGCACAAGGGCCCCGACCACCTCGCCAGGAACGTACGTACTCATGCCCTAACCGCCGCCCTCCCCTGGAATTTCCCATCCGTGACTGTCGATGGTTCGGCCCTGTGCCGTTTGCTTGCCTCTAATTTCACGAGGATGGTGTCGATTCGTTCGGTCCTCGTGCTGCGATCGGCGGAACAAAAGTCAGTCAACTCCCGGCGAGGGGTCGCTTCCATGCCTCTTATCGCTGTTTATTTTAGCGGGGGCCGGAGAGATGTCGCTGTCGCTCTCGTATAATCTAGTATATCACGATTCGAATTTCAGAAGAAAAAAAGTATCACGATTCGAGACTGGGGTTCGATATTTACAGATCATTCTAGTAGTACAGGGATAAGTATATTTTTCATCCTTAAACTCTTCCGAGAGTTTAGAAATCATCTCTTAACTTAAAACTGGATAGTTTTCGTCCCTCAACTATCAAAACCGGATAGTTTTAGTCCATCACGCCGCTTCGGGCGGTTTCTGTCTGCATGAACAGTAAATTAAAAAAAAATAAAAAAAATCTGAAAATTTGTGGAATCAAAGATACTCGGGTGCGCAAGGTGTGTGAAATTTTTTGTGCTATTTAGAAATTCTAGGAGCTCGTGACAAAGGAAAAACCATAAATATGTACGTCGGTGAACAGTAAATTCATTAAAAAAATAGAAAACAAATTCAAAAAAATATGAAAAATGTTGACATACAAGATGCTCGGGTGCTCAATGTGCCTGCAAAATTTCATGGTGTTTGGACATTGTGGGAGCTTGTGGCAAAAAAAAAAAAATTGGTTGGGGAAGAAACTTTGAAAAAGTGCATTATTTTGTTTTTTTTTGGCTAGAGCTCGTCCTATGTTATTTGAGCGCGAAAATATGCACGCACCTTGTTTTTTTTTAATTTACTGTTCACTGACGTACATATTTACAATTTTTTCTTTGTCATGAGCACCTGAAATGTCCAAACAATATGAAAATTTATACCCACCTTGCGCACCCGAGGAACTTTGATCCCGCAAATTTTCAGATTTTTTTGCTATTTTTTTTGAATTTACTGTTTGTTGATTTACTGTTCATGACAGACGAAAACCGCCCGAAGCGGCATGAGGGACGAAAATTATCCGGTTTTGATAGTTGAAGGACAAAAACTATCTGGTTTTGAGTTGAGGGATGATTTCTAAACTCTTGGAAGAGTTCGAGGACGAAAAATATACTTATCCCAGTAGTATATGGTATGAGTTTTTCCGCAGCTCGTCTCAGATCGGCGAGCCATTTGGGCGTGGCCGGTTTGTAAGAAGCATATTCTCTTCCAGTATGAGGCTTTCCCTGTGTTGCTCATGGAACAGACGATCCTTGGTTCAGCAAACTATCTTACAACATTAACCCAGGAGTCCCAAGCAACCTGCAAATGCTCAGAACGTCTACAGCAAAACGTAAAGCAGAGCAAAATGTAGCCTGCATTCAGTACCACCCATTACGTCCTGTCGCATTTTTTTTGTTCCATGGCCACTACAGCAGCATCTCATGGAGACACTACAAAAAAACATGCATAAGTCATATTTTGTTTGACCACCTAATCTTAGTGTGATAGTAATTGTGGCATGTGGCTTCTGTTTTTAGAGATTTGACACAGGATAGAACTCATTCTCTTCATGTTGTTCTCTGCAGCCCTTTGGCCAGGTGCCAGCTTTGCAGGATGGTGACTTGTACGTCTTCGGTATGATGCTACCTCTTGAGATGTTCTCTCTTTTCTACCCCTCATAAACAGAACTATAAAGGGTCATGATGCTTTTACATTACTGTTGTTGTGGTTGTTTGTTTTGCTGTTAATGTTGTTTCCTTGTAGTATAACAAAGCTAGCATTTCCACTTGGGCTTAAATGGTACCTGAGCCTTTACTAGAAACAAAGGAATTGTTTCATTTGGATTAATGATAAACCTTTGAACGTGTTCTTCACACATCAGTATGTGATGACATGAGTAAAAAACAATGTTAATTGTTAGCTGTCGCCTGGCATTATATTAGGAGTTATACCGTTTGGAGTTTTAATCCACTATCCTCGTATGCTTGAAGCTTGAGTTTTGAATGATGAGGTAATAATTAGTTAACAACCACAAGCTTGGTCGGAAGACAAAAACATGAGTTATGGTAAGGTTTCCCAAACAATCATATAGTCTATGCTTATGAGTTCTAATTTGATATCTTATCAAGTTTAGAAATGATCATTTTACTAGTTTTAGACCGATTTATTGAAATGGAATAAAACAGTACCATACTCCCTTTAGAATCCTCATAACTCTGGTTCTATTTTGTTTTTCTCTTCGTACTAGAATCACGTGCTATTTGCAAGTATGCGTGCCGCAAGAGCAAGCCAGAGCTGTTGAAGGAGGGCGACATCAAGGAGTCAGCTATGGTGGATGTGTGGCTCGAGGTGGAGGCCCATCAGTACACCGCCGCGCTGAGCCCCATTCTCTTCGAGTGCCTTATCCATCCTATGCTTGGGGGAGCCACTGACCAGACGGTCATCGATGCTAACCTTGTTAAGATCAAGAACGTGCTGGCGGTGTACGAGGCGCACCTGAGCAAGTCCAAGTACCTGGCTGGAGACTTCCTCAGTCTTGCGGACCTTAACCATGTGTCTGTCACCCTGTGCTTGGCGGCTACACCCTACGCGTCTCTGTTCGACGCGTACCCGCATGTGAAGGCCTGGTGGACTGACCTGCTGGCGAGGCCGTCCGTCCAGAAGGTCGCTGCGCTGATGAAGCCATGATCTTAGTTTCTGGCGCTCGTTCGTCGCGAAATAAGCCGAGGTGTGTTTCCCCCGATGTGTGCCTGTCCGAGTGTGTGTTCTTGTGATGTCTCCTCGTGTTGAATGTTCAGGCTTGTGCTTGCGATCCTGTCTAGATCTTGTACTGAAATGAGCATTCCTATGCTCTGGTTTAATAATAAATTGTGCCCAGAGATTATCTCAGCTTCAATATTTTCTCATCTGTTGCTTCGATGATCTGTCCATTAGCAATTTAGCTGCCTATGTATCCTTTTTGGATGTGAGTAGGGAGTCTGTTTCGGAAGACGCGGTGAAAATCTGAAGCAGATCCATAAGATTGGGAACCTGTTTATGCCATTTGATCCTCCCAAGTTGAATAGTTTAAACGGCCAAAGAACCATATGATTCTTCTACTATATTGGATAGTTTCAACGGCCAAAGAGCACACCTAGCATGTGTAGTGATATTTGTCCAATGCTTCTTCACCATGGTGTGATTGTTCAGAGGATGTTTGCACTCCTGTCCCACAAGCCTGGCAACACTAGAGCTGAATCACGTCTGTAAAGATGATAAACAGGTTTCCCTGGTGCAGTTTGCCACGCCGAAGAGGGCCTCTGCCATGCACAGGTGCTTAGATGAGGCGCTAAATGAGGGTGTCCCGGACTAGGGGTCCTAACCTATGCGGCATGTTATCTATGGGCCGAGCTAATAGCCCACTAGCCGTCGTTTGGAGGATAGCCGAAGCTGTGAACCTCGTAAGCAAGATGGAAACCACTGGAGACTTCGTATACTTGAAGGACAATTCTAATAGTTGGCATGTTTATTCCTAGTTGCCAACCGTCCATATGTGTAGACCTAGGCACCCCGGTGCATATATAAGCTGAGGTGTTTAGTTCATAAAGCACAATTACAAGCCTTAGGGTTTGGAACACAATTATATGATTTTGAGGTAGATTCTCTTGTACTCTGTACCCCATCACATAAATACAATCAAAACCCCATCACATCAATACAATCAAAGCAGGACATAGGGTTTTACCTCTCCGAGAGAGTCTGAACGTGGGTAAACATCGTCTTCCTTGTCTCCTATTACCCATTGTTCTCAGATCCATTACTCGGGACTCCCTATCCGAGATCAGCCGGTTTTAGCACCGGCATTGGTGGCCCATACAGGTCCCGCTGTGTGGTCATAAAGGATCAATGGCTCGTGTGCATATCGACAACAACATTAGCTATGGAGGTATCTTCCTCCCCAGCCAGCTTCTCGCGTTCGGCAGCGTTGTCCTTCACGCTGATTCGAATAGCCACCTCGACCAAGTTGATTGTTTCGCCCTAGATCAAATGATCGGATTTGGAAATCTAGAATATACTGCCGACTCCCTTTGTGATCTAGTGCTATGAGGATTGACGTCACATAAGCTCGAGAACCCCACGGACGCTGAGGTGTTGACCGCGGATTCTACTTCCGACCCAAACCTCGGAACCAGCCTCAAGCTCGGATCCGATCGCTTCGCTAGCAGACCAGGACTTAACCTTGGCCGGCCAGTGCTCTGAGGTCGCATCACGCAACCTGCCAAGCATTCTGCAGGTCCCCGCCTAGTGTCAGAAGATGGGTCCGGCGGACCTCTCACTTTTGAACGAGATGCTAGACTGGATCCAAAACCTTGGGATCTTAGACGGACAGTCCTCGATTTATGATCATATCAGACTTAAAGCCAACGATAAGGAAATTTATGTCCCGCCAACCACCCACCTAGTCACTACGGTCGACGATTTAATCGACGTACTGTACTACGCCTCCGATGAGGGACCGGCATGGATGAAGATGTCGATGGCGCATCAGGAATGGCTTCACCCATGTCCATATCACATACTAGTAATTGGGCCGCAACCTCTACCTATGACGTCTATATGGTCGACACCCCTAAGGAGGACGGGGAGGAGGAAAAAGACCCCCCCCAAGCACCGACATATTCGGGAGCGATCCAAGGTGAAAGCGCAGGTTCACTCCCAGAGGGGGGAGTGAATGGGAGATTTTTGAAAATTTGTCAAACTCTGATGAATTTGATGAAGATCGTAGTGAGGAAGTAAAAACGAGGACGAGACTAATTGATCACAAAAACATAAAAGCATGCAAACAAGATAGATGCAAGTGATGAACATGCAATCATACAAACATTGAAGTGTACAGAAGATGAACTGAAGAAATAAAAGGCACCATGATGAAAGTCTTCACGTTCTTCACAAAGTAGATCACAGAATCTTCAGTAGCGGAATAACTTAAAGTAAATGGGTGATGAATTAGAAACTAGGTAGGCTCGATGAAGACACATCGACTTGGTAGACCAGTTAGAGTAATGAAATGTCTAGTAAAACTAATGATCAGACTAGAGGTGGTAGAATGACTCAAGAACCTTTGTATCCTAAGAATCCTCCTAAAAGAATTGAACAAGATTCTTAGAGAATTAAGGCTGGTTCACCTAAGAAGAAGAATAAAAAGTGTAAGAATAAAACTTTGCATGCTTCCAGCGAACCTATTATAGAAAAACCTATTGAGAATTCTAATGATGTTTCTATCTCTGAGGCCGAGACAAAATTTGGTGACGAGCATTTACCTAGCGATAATGATAATAATGATGCTAATGATGATCATGTTTATGCTCAACCTAATGATAATAGTGAACTTGGTAATGATGTAGAAATATAACCTGAAATTGAGCTTGATGACCCACCTCCTAAAAATGAAAGATACGATAAAAGAGACTTCGTTGCTAAGAAGCATGGTAAAAAAGAGAACCGTGGATTCAGAAACCCATGCCTTTTCCTAGTAAAGCTACCAAGTCCAAAGACGATGATGCTTTCAATCGTTTTGTTGAATTGCTTAGACCTTTATTCTTGCAAGTACCTTTGGCCGATGCTATGAAAAGGAAAATACCTGAGGCTGAAATTTCCCCTATGGTTGCAAATTATTCTTTCAAAGGAAAAATACCTGAAAAGATAGGAGATCTAGGGATACCCACTATACCATGCTCTATTAAGAATAATTATGTCAAAACTGCTTTGTGTGATTTAGGACCTGGTGTTAGCGTTATGCCTCTCTCTCTTTATAAAAGACTGGATTTGAGTAAAATGATTCCTACTGAAATTTCCTTGCAAATGACTGATAAAATCTATTGTTATACCCATCGGTATTTGAGAGGATGTTCCAGTTGTTGCTGCTGATGTTACTATCTTAACGAACTTTGTTATTCCTAATATGCCCGAGGATGACAATATGTCACTTATCCTTGAAAGGCCTTTTCTTAACACTGTAGGGGCTATTATTGATTGTAATAAAAGTAAGGACACTTTCCATGTCAACAACAATGAGCATACGATATATTTTCCGACGAAGCAAAACAAAGTGAATAGCATAAATTCCATTGAAAAAATTATGACAAACACTATTGTAGACTTTGAATTTCCTCTCCTGGTTCCCGAAAAGAAATATCAAACTCTTATTGTTGGGACAATGCATATCCCAGTTGAGGTAACATAGTGATATACAAAAAGATGGTTCTATATCTCTAGGAAATAATTTGTTAATAAAACTTGATCAACCTTATTAATGGATTCTTTTTAAGGGCATATGGTCGATGAATTCCGTAAGCACAACCTTCTATAACTTTAGTTTACTTTTTGTTACTTTTAGTTAAATAAAATGGACTATCATGTTTATCCTATTTTCTGAATTATCCGTGCAATAAAAAATGATCCAGAAATAAAAGTGCTTAGAATGTCATAAAATTTGAACATGAATTTTTATAAAATAAAATAATTTTTTTGGCACTTGACACATCCCCGGGGGGTGCACCTGCTGTCCACAAGGCAGCAGAGCGCGCCTACCCCCGGGCACGCCCAAGTGCCTTGTGGGGCCCACAGGACCCCACTCACTTACCTCCAAAAAAATTCATGTCTAGTTCTTATCTCGTGTTCTTGCTCCTGCATACAAATTTTTTATCTCTTTGCTCGGAGCTCTGTTTTCGAAACTTTTCGAAGAAATTGCTCCTTGGTATGCGACTCCTCCATTTGTCCAATTAATTTTTGTTCTACTGGTTTATAGTTTGGTTATTTTGCTGTCGTCGGTGACCAAGAAAATAAGCTTACATGTTGAATTCATTTGGTTCCAAGTAGCTTGAATGATTGATATAGCCTCTAGACACTTGTAGGAGTTGTTTCTATCAATTTTATTGAGTTTTATTCACCTCTTATTTGTGGCCCAAAAATAAAAAAACAGAGAAGGAAACATGTTTGGAAGGAGGTCTTCACGAGGCTCTTCAAGCCAAAGTGCGACACGACTGACGTATCATGAGGCCTGAGAAAGTTTTGTGCGAGGTGCCGATGTAAAATCTTATCAATGGCCTCATGACACTTTCATGATGGGCGCCGGCATCAAGCAAGAATTCGATCAATATATAGAGAATGCTGAGCTGACCACTTTCCTCTCAGATAAGTGCACCTAGTACTATCACCTTACCAACACCTTTGTGCAAAATTTTGAGTACGTGTCTGCATCATCTAGAGTTCTATTTCATCTCTATGAGAAAATCCTATAGTATGCCTCTTGAAGAGTTTTGTTATATCTGTAAAATTCCGTATTTGGGTTCACTCGACAAACCGTGGAAGGTTGACTATGCTGCATTTCTTAGTAGTATTTGTAACGGGGAGGATAGAAGCATGATACATGATGGAATTAGGAGTATTGTTTCCTACCATTCGCTACTTTGCAGTATTTGTTGGGAGATGCCTAGCTGGTAAGTATCATCTTAGTGCAACATGTACACCTGATTTGAGTATACTACATGCTATTGTACATGGTTCTAGAGATTATAACTTTGGGTCTATAATTGCACATCGCTTAGGCAGAAATTCACGGGATGGTGATTTGCACTGAGGGATTTATGCTTCTTGTTTGGCTGCAAGTTTGGGTGTTTCTGTTAGACCCAATGATCCTATGCTCCCTC